ATAAGCATTATTCTATTTTAATTATAGTCATATTTTTAAAAGAATAATGTATCATAGCTTCAAAAATGATCTAATTACTTGACATCATAAGTTTATAATCATAATATATTATTATATGATTGATTTTTTTCACTTAAGGGTCTACTTATAATATTATGTGTACCTACTCACCTAATGACATGTCATGATTATAAATTTATAATTTTATATAATATTGTAACTATAGTATTATGAAATTAATTTTGACTAAGAAGAAAAATAAAGATACAAAAGAAAAAAAATCATAGATGTATATATACTTAATTGATTAACGGTCTTGCAACTAAGACTAATTTTGTTTTATAAAGTAAGCACAGATGTGTAATTTTTTTTCTATTTAAATATTTTTTGGTAAAGACAACTGATGCTAGAGCTATAAGATGAGCTAAGCCCAAAATTCTGGGCTTTTATAAACAACCCAGCCTATTCCCATTAATTCTTTAAGCTTGAAAGCCTATATCTATAATGAAATAAGCATTATAACCTTGTGTTACTTAGGTCGGCAGATAAGAAATAACAAAACAAACAGCCACATCCACTTCCTTTTTTTTTTCTTTTTTTTTTCAAAAAGAAAAGAAATGCACCATTCAGGAATTCAAGAACAGTACGTGAAGTTCCACATGCCCTGATGCAGAAAATTATAAGGGTTTGTGCCCTTATTGGGGGAAGATGGGGACCCCCCAGACATTTGAGGTTTCGCCTTCTCAGAGGATTAGGCTGGGAGAGCCAATAGGGAATTAATGGATTGAATCAAAGGTGACAAAAACAAATAATGAGGCCCTGGCCCAGCAACCCATGTGAAGAGACGGGCCACTAGGCCTTACAAGAACAGTGAAATGAAGAGGGAGAGACCCAGGATCATGCAATTCTGCTAGTTGGCTCTTATCCATTGTTTATCCCAACTTTGTTTTTCTTTTTAATTTATTTTTATTTACTTATTTATTATCAAAAGAGAAATTAAATGTCGATCTCCACATCTTAACCTTTCCTTGGTTCGGATTCCACATATTGCATCACAAAACATTTACCAAAAACATGAAGTAATGGTTTGTTATGGAAGTTCAACCACTGGCTGCTACCAATCTTCATAATTGAAGGGGAAAATGGAAAGATCATGTGGAGATGGAACTCTCTTTTCCTATCTTTGTTTAGAGTAAAGCAAACAAAATTAAACCACTTCCTTGAAAGTCTATTTAGTTTGAGAGAAATGAAGGGGAGAATCTCTAAACCTAATAGTTATGGTTAAACTAAAAATGCCATGTAAGCCCCAATATGGTGCTTTTGTGGCTCCTTCTTCATCAAGCCAGAAAAAGCATGCTACTCTTCCCTTACTCTCTTAATATGCTTGATATTGTTGTAGTTTTGACCTATAGCTTTAATCACTAAAGCTAAAAGAGTATGGTAATGAAAAAGGGGCCTGGGCAAATGTTTTTCCCTTTCTAGGGTAGCTATTAGGTATGTCATATATTTTCAATTTCTATCTACACGACATTGAGCATCAACTATTCAACATGGCGTAGTGAAATCTATAATAGAAGTGTCGTTTTAGTAGAGTTTAATTACTAAAAAATGACGAGAACGCACCTGGGCCTAGAGGCCCACTGGCATTAGCTAGCTTGCTAGGTGCATTCCCCTCTCCCCTGGACGGATTTCGAACCCGCCCCGTGTCAAAATGTTCAAAAAAAAAAAAAATGACGAGAACGAAATTAGGTGGGATATATGAAAATCTTTAACATTTTGACCTAAAGAAAGATATTTATTGTAATTAATTGATAAATGCAACTTGAGAATTTTGTTGAAGAATTTGGATTACAATGGATTGCAAAACAAAAATTGTTGTCTAATAATTTTTATTGTATAGTTTGAACTGCATAATAATTTTCTGCTGTAATATCATAAAAAATGCTGAAATTTTTTAACTTTCCATCTTCTTGTTCCTCTATTATGTGTTCTGAATTTGAGGGGCCAGAGAGTACTTTTGAACTTACTCAATGGGTCTTATTTTCACGGTTGGGAATGGTCTCCCTGCAAGGAGAAAATGTCATGAAATGTCCCCTCAAATGGCAATGTTAACAATTAAGTCTCCTCCAAACTCATCCACAAAGTTAAATGAGGAGGGCCCTTCATCCTTTCCATACTATTTTGTTCAGAACAAGTCGAAAGAACTTCCAAGTAAAAGCAGTCCCATCCGGGGCCTCACACTGAAAATTCTGAACCCAAGATTGAAAGACTGCATTACTAGTGTTGGGGTTTTTGCAGGCAAGCAACTGTGTCTTTGGTTGCATTTGTTGAAGCATGATTTAATGAACCATCAATTTGAAATTACTCAAACCGAGGAGGCGCTTGTATCACCCACCTACAAGGCATCAAATCAATTTCTTTTGTATTTTCTTTATATAATTAGGTAATATTTAATGATTAATTTATAAAATTAAGTATTAATTTGATATAATAATTCAAGATTAATAATTAATGACTTTATCTACATTGCTATATAATAGTGTTTGATAAATTATTATTTCACCAATTGATAGGCATTTAGTATTTAGTAAAATTTTTTATTTCACAACTTGATGGTAGTGAGTAGTCATTGAATCTAATCCACTGAAGAATTAAAATAGTTTTTTAAAGTAACTTTTTATCCCAATGAATTGGAATTAAATTAGGGTAAATTATATGAATGGTCACTGACCTTTACCATAACTTTCAATTTAGTCACTCTGCTTTTATATTTGCAAGTTTAGTCACTCACTTTTGTTTTAACATGCCCAGTTAATCAGTTCATGTTATCTCCCCAAATGCCGTTAGTTGAGGTGACGAGAGGACGTGGGATAAGTAAAAATTTGATGACTAATTTTATTAAAGATATTTTAATAAATGAAAAAGTAAGAAATAATTTTATTAAAAATATTTTAATAATTTTAATAAATACAGTCTAACTTATAAAACATGAATTTCATTTAATTATAAAAATTAATTTATCAAAAAAATAAATAGATAAAAAAATAAAAATAAGTTAGATGTAGGAGCACTTAAATAGGTCAATTAAAAATATACATGATTTAATCCCAATCCTTATGGGTATATGAGTAAACCTAAGCAACATATGTTATTTTGTTTTATTACTAATGCAAAGAGTCAATGCATAATATCTTTCTTGTTAGGTGTTTAGTTCTTCTACAAAGCCAATAAGAACATCTATAGGTGTGGTTATTGTCAATATTATTAAAATCACTAAAATTTTAGTTTTTTGAAATAGTAATTAAAAATATCAATTTGTTTGCTAATTTTAATTTGTTAACTAATAAATATTAATTGTTCTATCAATTATTAACTAATTGTTACTATTATTAGACATTTTTATTAGTTAAATTAAACAAAATCATATTTTTAAAAATAATATTTTATAATTTTGATAACCATGTATAATTGTACCCGATATTTATCATATAAAAATATCTCTCTAATTAATCTACAACCTTATTTATTGTTCTAGAAATAAAAATAAAAGTATCAACAAAATATTAAATAATTGGTGTGCAATTAACTTTACATAACAAACCGATACTCTAATCTAACCACGGTTCAACAAAAGTGGAAGCACGAAGTTATCAATTTTTTCTTGGTCCAAGCCAATTCGTCATCTCACTTAACGGCATTTGGAATATAACAAAGGGTGATTAACAAAGC